GCTCAGCAGCTCCTTCCCTTCTACAAAGTAGGGCAGTCAAAGAGGAACCAACTGACACAACAAAACCTCCTTATTTAAAAATATATTAGGATAAGATAATAACAGTGATTTACATGCTACTTCTTTTTGTACAACTGCCATTGATGCTTACAGTTAAACCTTACTTTAAATTGGGAAACAGAGATCAGTAACAGGAATAGCCTGGCATTTAAAATATGCAAGAAATCACAGAGATCCAAGATCCTTATATGGATTTTTACTTCTAGGCTTACCTAAAGAAAAAGGAATTTACTTTAAAGAACAAGATATCTAATATCACAACAATGCTAATAAGGTTCATTCAGAAGCCAGAAGTTTCCATTCTTTAATGAACACTGATTAGCAATATTCCTAGCAGGAAGGGAAAGAGAAGATTGCTTCATTTGGAGACAGAGCTTGCATGTCTAAATTCCAGGTACGTCTGTGTTGTATTCAGATTTCTCAACACATCAGTGCTTCCAAAGGCACCTGATTTCTAACAAGGCATTTTTTACTGAACTAGCACTTTCTAAGCCATATAAAGACCTCAATAGAAGGTTGCTGAAGCTGTAATAGTCTGATCAAAGGACTCTGAGCTAATCGCACCATCTAGTGTAAAACAGGGGAAAGTGCACTACAACTACTCAGTATGTTATACACATTTTCATTTTGTGGACTAGAACACCACAATTTCCTTACCTTCACAAATTGTAAAGAGCATTTATCATTGCAGTATGTCAACTCTTGCAAAGAACTGCTGAATTGCTAACAGTTTCCCCAAATGTTAATACAGGAACATAACCAAAAACTTCCTTTTAAACTTCTGTGTTTGACATTCAAAGTTGCTGAAGCTATTGCAAATTTTAGCTTTTCCACACCAATAGGTAGATCAACCTTTAGCAGAAGCTTGCAGCTTTCTAATAGTTAGCACATACAATCACAGTGAAGAGTGTATAGGAGAAGCTACCTGACAGTTCATGGAGAAATCTGAGGGTACAAAAGTGGAAGGCACAATGAAAAGAGGATCCTCTTTTCATCTTAACTGTTCTTTCTTATTATTATCTTCCAACAGGAAGTGATGTGGCTATGGTCCACCAGAGTGTAGGGACTCAAAAGATAACAAGACTGACTAGCCCGTGTTAGAAAACCTCTACACATTCCCAAAGAGTTTTTAGCATTATTGGTACCTGAATGTCTCTTTTCATAATGGCTGAGGACCATATTTCTGATTATTCAGCAAATAGAACTGCTGAGATGTCAAAGAAAATTTGCTTTACAGCTTGGTATCTGACAAAACCCAATCCCTTTGAAGTATCCAGTAGAGACTAAGTCCACTAGGATAATTGTGTACTACATCAAAGTACATAATCCAGAAAGTGAAACTACAGAAAACTTCTTTACTACTTTGTACAAACAGCTTGGAATCCATTATGAGATATATTTGTACTATGCAACACAATGCATCAAGCATTTGAATTGCACATGTGTTCATAAAGATGGGCTGAATGTTTGTGCTGAGGATTAGAAAGTCTTTCAAAAATCCCTGGGACACTGTACTTACAAATATATACAGTGGTAAAGACAGGTCAATGACTTATCCTTCTGAATCTCAACTATTCATTAAAATTCTAGCTGTAATAATGCAAGACTGACAAAAACCTCAAGCTGCCTTACGAATGCACACTGAGATAATCACTAGGAATTTAGAGTGAGGGCAGTGTGATGGTACCAAGCATGCTACCTGAGCAAACAGTGTATAAATAACTCTTACAGCTTCCAGAGATGGCTGTGGTACAGTTTAGTTTGCAGCCACACTAGAGGGGAGCTTTCTAATTGCACAATCTTCACATGTTTCTTTCCAAATGAACACAATTGCATGGAAACAAGCAACGTTGTCCTAAGTGACTTGAGTTTGGCAGAGTAAAAAGTGAGATGATTAAGATGGACACGTGGCTTGGCCTTGAGATCATCCTTTGGTTCCAAAACATCTTTGTTATATTATTTCAATGTTCAACATTTTCATTTTATTATGCTAGTAAGTATAGTATAATGAGACTTCATTGCATCCTTTCAATACTGAAAAGAGGATTATAAAAAACAAAACTTAATTTTTTACAAAATATGATAGTGATACTACAAGAAGAAATGATTTTAAACTAAAAAGGGAAGAGTTAGGTCAGATTTTAGTAGGAAGCCTTTTATCCAGAGCATATTGAGGCCTTGGCATAGGCTGCTCAGAGAAGCTGTGGATGCCTTGTCCCTGGAGGTGCTCAAGGTTAGGTTGGATGAGGCCCTGGGCAGCTGATCTGGTGAGTGGCAACCAGCCCATAGCAGAGGGAGGCTCTGACATCCTTTCCAATCCAAGCCATTCTATCATTTTATGGTTCTGTGATACTACTGTTTCATCATTCTATCATTCTGATTCATTCATTCTATGAAATACAAACTTTGGAAAGTCATCCTGTCATCAGTGCTCTTTGCAGAGCACAAAAGACCGCCTCAGAAATTTGTTGAGAGGTGCAGCGTGCTGCTGCAGATCCCACTGTGAAACACAGGTAAGTCAGGCAGTTATTTTAACCCCACTGAGTCAGAGTGCCATCCCCCTGCCCATGCGACATGCTTGCAGGCTGGGTCAGGTTGACAGTCTTAGTGACACAGGAGTATGGGATCCCTCTCACTACAAGCAAAGTTATGACTCTGATTTACACACAGATTCACTTTGCAGCAAATGTCCTGACCTGTGTCCAGAAAACAGAGGCAGAACCAGTCAGCCTTTCCAGTGCAGATAGCTCTCATTGGAGTTTCCTGACAGTTTTATCCCACTCCAAATGCCAGTGTCTTCTCAGTCATAAAACCAGCGCTGACAAGCTGTATTTTGACTTCAGCATTTGTTCTATATCCTCCGAGTAGGATTTCAGCAGTTCCATATCTCACACAAGAGAGCAAAATATGTAAATTCCAGGCATTTTCCCTGGGAGGGCACACTACGAGTTGAGAGGCAGCGTGCCCCAGATTTAAGTTATTATTCAGTGCAGCCATGTTGTGAAGAATACTGCTGTGAAGAAAGTGGAATACTGAAGAGCATTTAGGAATAGGGTGAAAAATCCATAGTCTAAAAAAATCCAATAACCTATTCTGATTGGGTTTTAGAGAGTTTTGAATGGTATTTCTCAAATATGCAGAAATTTAATTAACACAAATCTTTTGAATGGGAATTACTGTTGAACATCAGAAACAAAAGTGAATCCAAAGTGGATATTTCAGACAGGCAGGGTACCACAATGTCATGGATTTACTTCAGCCTCCAGAGCTAATTCTCTTCTGCAGGGTAAAAGACAAGGGTAAAAGACTGCACAAGAAAAAGCAGAAACTTCAAAACCATCTGAAGAGATCAATTCCTAAATTTAGACTAAGTGGCAGACATGAGACATTACATCCAACGTGGGTCTGAGGGAAAGATGGGAAAGGGACAGAGCCAAAGACAGAAATCCTCCCACTCAGTGAAGAACTTGCAGGACATAATAAATTCCTAAAGGAAACACTTCACTGCTTTTCGTCTACACATCTGGAAGCAACTATTGAAAACAACATCCTACTATTGCAGAAGTGATTACACTGGGGCCCATTGAAGACAATAGATATCTCTGGATCTGCAGATATCTCTGAATACTCTTCACCTCAAGTAGAGTAGGGATGTCTCTCTTGCAGGCAAGAATTTTTTAGACTGCTGTTTTCCCTTGAGATTACACTGAAGTTAAATGGAGGTCATCCTTTGCAAATAACTGAATTCACCTACTTCTGCATAAAGAAATACAACACTGGTGATTTCTACAGTGGAAGTTAGGTAGGCAATGTGGAATTCTTCTAAAGCATGAAAAGACAAACTGTGTATAAAAACTACACAAAGAAATAACAAGGCCATCAGGAAAAAATTGTTTCAGTTGGTTATTCCACAAAGGCTCAATGAATGCCAGATGAATTCACATCAGTCTTTAATAGTAAATATTTGTTTTCACTTGCCACAACAATGTAATCACTCTACTGGACAAGCAATGACCATTTCATAGCCTTTTGGCACTGGAATGTGTAAAACCTGTCTGCCTTATTGGCTTCTTAGTTAACAGCCTGAACAAATCCATTACCCAGAACATCACCACCATTATTAAAAATGCTTCACTTTTTTCCTCCCTTTTCTAGGCAGAAAGAAAAGAACAACCAATAAGAATACTATTGTGCTCCTTTTACTAAAGGAGTTTCAGGAACTTCTTCAAACTGTTGCAAAAGAGCAAAATTTTCCAAAATTGAATTATTTTTGGTTAATATTCAGGTTCACCATAAATATTTTGCCCAGTCAAATGTGTCAGAGAACATCATACGCAGACACACACACACAAAATCCCTGTAAATAGCTGCTTTCATTGACAGAAAGGTGTCTGTACATCACTCGGAATGGTAACAAAACCCACAGAAAACAGCTAATGTTTGAGCAGTAGATCTGAATGGTGACAAATGAGTTCCCTTTTCATTTCACATCTTATGACTTTGATGTAACTGTATGACTTGATATAACTATGTAACTTTGAGAGATGGAAAAAACAGGATTCCATCAGATGGCACTTTTTTTTCTTTTCTTTTTTTTTTTCTATTTATGAGGACAATCAGGAAGGAAATCCTTCTGTTAGAAAACCATGATAGTATTGAGAACATACATTATTCTTTTTCAGTGTAAGAAAAGAAGGCTCATTTGCCAGGAGTGATTTTTCCTCAAGCAAAAATCTCACATCTCAATACAAGCTTTGCCAGCTAGACCATCACCTATCCCAGTACAGCCTCAAAATCCAGACATGGGACAATCAAATCTAACCAGTACATTCCAAAACACAGTATGGCTGTTTGCACAACAAGATAAGATTCTCAGGGGCCTTCATATTATACATTTTCTCATACTGGAGAGTCAAAGCCACAGCAAACACTGATCCTACCTTCAAAGGAGAAATGTGCGACTGTAAGACATATCCATGGACATTCTCTATTTGAGATAAGTTCTTCTCTGACACATGAACAAGCTCTGGGCCTCTCACTTCATGGGTCAATCGAGGCAAAGTATGATCATGTGGAACATCCTCATCTTGATAACGGTATTTCTAGAAAAAAAAAGATAATGAGGGAGAAATAAGTTTTCAGGAAGCAATGGCTATGTGTTAATGTAAATATCAGACACTGGATAAGCTACGAGACATTAATATAACTCTTGGGTTTTCTAATCTCTTCTAGAAAGAATACTTAATTCTTTATTTAACATTTCATCAGTGAGAGAAAGCCTCGTACATAGCTCGCTCCAAAAGTAATGCCTCCTATTTCTTTCCACTGAAACTACAACAGACACAAAGAGCACGATAACACTATTTGATAGAGCCACTTCTCAGCTACAAAACACTTTTTTTCAATATAGTAACCACTATTAGCTATGTTTTGTTTTGTTTTGTTTTGTTTTGCCAGTGATGAACAAGTGTCTGCATGTTGCACTAGTAAAAATCTGCACGAGCAAAGGTGAGCCACTGTTCTTGTCACCATTGCTGAGACACACCACCCACCACCTCGTTGTGCTCACATACACTATTTGGTCTCCATAAATGTTCAGCAAGCATCGACAAATGTCAGTGGGTGCCATTTTTTCTACATGAAGGAATTCAGTTCCACACTTCGCCACTTTTTCTGCGTGGAAGAATTTGATACCTTGGCTTCACACACTTCCATGTCAGAATGTCTTTTAGTTAGGCTGCCCCTCTGCTGCCATCTGCCACAGGGCAACAAAATGTAAGGGAATACTCATGGGGAGATTCAGCTTCTATTCCCATCATTCACCTTCAGCGTCATGGGCCAACATAATAAAACAGGAGGCATTACTTTTGGAGCAGCCCTCACATCATCACATGGATACAGTAGACTTGCTGTCTTCATATAGACATCTGAGAGCACATTCTGGCATGGGCCGGTACTGACAATGTTATGTTGCTCTGCTGAGTTGTAGAGCCTTCTCACACTCTTCACACCCTCACAATAATAACTGCACTTTTGTAGCTTTTCTGAACAAAATACTTGAGTTATTTTCCATTTTGCCATGGATTTTGCAATGCATTTCCATGGATAAAGAAGAGCACACACGCATTTCTACAGAGCCATGGGCAGGTGAAACTTATTTTCCATTGAAAACATTTCCCCTGACCCCGCAGACTAATTGTGTTGTGAGGTGTTTTAACTTCCCTTTCCACAGAAAAGTAACAGAAGAAAGAGAGAAGTGAGCAGCTCGACCAGAACATGAAGGATGTAACTGTAACCCTCAAAATCAAATTAGATTGCCAGACCTCAGACTCCTTTTCACAGGGGCACCTTCCCCTCAGAGAACAGGCTCAGCCATGAGTGGGCCTGCTGTGGAATTGACTGTGGGTTTCTTCCAACTTGGGTTATTCTGTATTGCTCATGGCTGAATCTGGACTGGGGCAGAACCTTCCTCTTCTCACAAAGCCCAGCCCTGCAGCTCCCATCTTCCAAAACCTTGCCTTTTATACCCAATGCACGTATGGCAGTTTTGAGGGATAAAACTACAGAATGGGTAATTTCTTTTCTCCAGGCTAAACAAATCCACCTCCCTCAGCCTTTCTTCATAGGAGAGGTGGACCAGCCCCTTGGTCAGTCATTCTTATGGCCCTTCTCTGGACCAACTTAACAGTTCTGCATCTTTCTTGTGCTCATAGTGTTGTTTAGTGTAACTGTAAATGCTTTCATTTGAAAGGTATGTGCTCAAACATTGCAATGTGTGGAATCAAATGCTATGGAAAAGACAAAATCTAAGACTTATTTGAATGTTCAAACAGGAAAACAATGTTGTTTCAAGTTCAGGTATGCCCATAAAGACTTTGCAAAGCGGAATTCTCTGCTGTTCCTGCCACTCACTTGGAGCACCAGGCCCTGGTGCTTCATTTACTTATCCTTCCAAAGGAAATCCTCCTGGTTTATTCCTGCTTTCACCTTGATATGTGGAAGCATTTGCCAATTATTTTTCAAATACCCATGTGACATGATTGATTCTCTTTTTTCTTTCTGGGATATACCTGCAACCCTTTACATACTTACTTTTCAGATAACGTAATTAGTGAATCTACAAAATGACTGGCACCAGAAACATTCTTCGGGCAAGAAGCCATCAGCCTAATAGACAGCATTCCAACCAATGTTCCATTAAAGTCTTGGCACACAAATCACTTAAGCCCCAAGCAGTCCATTATATTTTTAATCCAGCAAGTACTCTTTCCGAAAAAGACTACTACTCAGAGACATCCTCTCTAAAGTGAGTCATTTGCTAAAAGGTGGTTTTGAGAAAGAGCTGCAGAACACCAGACTCATCCTATCTTATTGGAAAATGACAAAAATGAAAATGTCCTGCAACCACTTTCCAAACAGGCACGACAGCAGAGGCTGAAGCCCTGAGGATACTTGGCTGGATCATTCACTCAGATTAACAGCACAAAAAAGCAGCATAAGGTGGAATTAAAGAGAGAACATTTCTTCATGTCAATCAGTAAGACCTTTTCCCATCACCACACTGCAGTGTGCACGTTATAAATGAGAGCCAAGTTCCAGAGTAGATTAGATGACCATGAGCTCTGTGCTCCTGAAAAGCAGAACACTTTCTGTAGACCTTTCATTGAAATCATATACTTTCTAATTGAAGTCTATAATTTTGTCTGATAACTGTGTATTTCCACAACAAATTAGGTAACATCCAAGTTCATTTGCCATAAACTGGAAAGTTTACAGAACAGAATGACACTTCTCTACTTGTCTTTATCTCCCTCCCATCCTGAGACCAGCATTCCCATTACTCATAAGGCAGAAGCCTAGAGCATTTCTGGGTCAATCCTGTTACATGTTTGTATCATGTTCTTAGCACCAAACTCATTGATTTTCATGCATCTGTCCTCCCACATCATCTCCTCACTGAAATGCCTTCAGCAGTGAACCAAATCAGCTTGACACAGCAAAAAGCCAGGGGTAAGGAAAGTTTCTGAGAACATAAGGCTGAAAATACCAAACCAGAGCTGAGATTCTCCTGCACGAATGCCTCATGTGTCTACATTATCCTGTTCTAATGGATTTCAGTAAATGTACTTGAAGTTACCCAGTTCCCTAGAAACTGAGCTTTCTGTAAGGGTTAATTCAAATTTCTGGAGGGAAAGTCATGATTGCACGGAAGTGCTACTCTTCATTTGACAAAAGAACAGGTGGATGTCTTATGATAATTAAATTACAAATCAGTGCCTGCTGCTGACAGAGTATTGTACGCTGCCAAGTAGCATCAGATATTTTAAATCCTCTGTAATTACCTATAATGGGGGAGTAGAGTGTGCTGCTGTGAATTTTTAATACGAACGTGCTTTTTTTATGTGATCATTCTCTCTAAAATGTGAGGTTATTGCAGCATCGCTGCTCCTCACACTGTACTGTCTAAAGGAACATTCCTAAGGCTGTGTTTGTCAGGTAGATGTCAGCTAAACAGGACTGAAGATGTGAATCCAGCAGAGGTGAATGGTCAAAACCCTTAAATGTGAGCAAAGTTAACTCTCCAGAAAAAAGAAAAAAAAGACACTATCAGTAACAAATTTTAATAGCCAAATTAAAGCACCTGAATGGAAATAGAGCTCCATTTGTTAGACTGCCAGTGAATGAAGCTCTTTGGGAAGATCATTCTAGTTGGGGCTAAAGAGGATTTTCTTTTACAAAAGTCCTAAGTGCTCTTTTCAGGTAGTTTTGCTTCACAGAAAGTGCAAACAAAAAGCTTCATTTTAGATCAACTCAAACTGATCTGTGCCCTAAGCTGAACATGATCCTATTAAAGTTGCCATTCAAGGGCATGTGTCCCTGCTCTTCATATGGATGGATCACATCACTCTTCATATGGATGGATCACATCAAAACATTACACATTACTTCTGCTAGCAATGAGAGCTGCAAAGGAAAGCAAAGTTTATTACAGCAGTCACAAGGCTCTATAACATCCTATAAAGTAAAAGCAGCCAGGGAATATTGGTCTAGAGAGGCTCTCAACCTACAGGAAAGTACTCTGACATCTGTAAGATATAAAGATGAATGAATCAAGGTAAAATTTTGATGTGTCTTCACTCAGCTGAAGCATTATTATAGATACAGCTGATAGATGTCAGAAATGGAAAAAGATGCTGCAACATAGTATGAAGTGGTAGTCCTTTCATGAGTGGATCCTATTCCCAATCTCCCTTTAAAGCCAGTTGATCAGGAAGATTTTTAGTCAGAACAGTAAGTTTTGCCAAAGGAAACAATAGCAGTACTACGTTTTAGTTCTTAAGCATCAGCACTTTAAGTCTCAAATCCTATTGAAGTTTTACAGCCATCCTCAGGATGGGTCAGACCTGCACATCTTACAAGTGGCAGGCCTTCATATAACCCACATAATTTGAAGAAGATCACCGCAAAAGTAATTTTTGCAGAAAAATTTCTTCTGGATACAATGACCCCTTAAAGATTCAGTCACCCTACTGGGGCTAAACAATGCATGCAACCTTCTCCTCATCCCTTTCTCACTTGCCTCTTCCCTCAACCCAGGATTTGAGTTGCTTTGAAATACCCCATCTCTAGTCATCTGCAGGAACTCTTATTGAAAACTACCTTTGAGCAGGTAAAGCAACAATCCCCTTCTGCACAATATTAGGTCCAGAATTCAGTACTCTAAATTGGTTCACATTCTCAGCTACAGGCAAAAGCTAAAAACATTTGATGTAGGATTTGGTCCATTTAGATAAAAGTTTAATCCATGGAGGCCCACTAAAAAATGTCAGCACCCCTTTGTCTTGCTTTTGTGATCAGAAATTTCAGTGGTCTTTGATGAGTTGAATTTTACTGGCTTTGCTCTTCAGAGGCAACAAATTTCAATGTCATACAGATGAGTATCTTGAGAAAACAAACTTTATGATTTGCACACACAAGTCCTTGGGCATTCATCCAATCATGAGTAGAAATAATGTTACTCATTCAACTGATTGCAGATGAGCAACACAGCTTGAATTCTGAATATTTGCAATCAATCTATAGAGTAAAAAGGAAAAAAAAA